ACAAAAAAAATCTGTTTTATTCTAGCTTAAAGCATTATTTTTTATGAACACTTGAATATAGGTAGGTTTTTATAAAAGTGCATAATTCTGAGCAAAAAGGTGAGAAAATCACATTTTTATCAAAAACTGGATAATATTCAGTATGATTATCAAAGCATAAATCCAGTAAATAGGCTGTGGGCGAGCTGCTGCAGACCAGAGGTCATGAAGTGGGCGTGACCACAGGCAGAAAGAGACGCTGTGGTTGGCTGGATTTGGTTATTCTCAAATACGCTCATATGATCAACGGATTCACTGCGTGAGCGCTTTGGTTCTGTACATGAGTATAATGTGAAATAATTAAATACTGAACTATACTAAATAGCATTTTTTAATATATGATATATTATGCAACAAGAAATATACAATAAACAGTAGCATGCCACGTTTTTTGTCACATGACCTCATTGCATGTGTACACCAGTAAGAGAGCCAGAAATAAATACAGGGATTTTGCTTTTTTTTTTTTTCTTCGAATTTTGCATAAAATGTGCAAAGCTTTGTGTCAACAAAGAATGTAAAATTTGTAGTATTTTTCTAATGGTTGTTCTGTGTCTCTCTTCAGCATTGCATTGACTAAACTGGACATCCTAGATGTTTTGGATGAAATTAAAGTGGGTGTTGCTTATAAGATCAATGGCAAGAGAGTCCCATATTTCCCAGGTAAAATGATTCCTAAAAGTGTTGGGAAGTAACTAATTAAAAGTAATGACACTGCTTATTAAAATTTGAATTAGTTTGAATTTGAATTTGAATTTGAAATTCTGAATTGGTTCTGAAGAATGATTCACTGAATCTTTTGAGTCCCAGCACAGATGTCTGTGTACTACATGTTTTGTGCAGCTAAATATTGTGTGTGTGCGTGTGCGTGCGTGCGTGCGTGCGTGTGTGTGTGTGTGTGCGTGTGTGTGTGTGTGTGTGTGTGTGTGTGTGTGTGTGTGTGTGTGTGTGTGTGTGTGTGTGTGTGTGTGTGTCAACTTTTAAAGGTGCTATAAAAAAAAAAGATTATTATTATTAAAGTTGAATAATTTTGTGTGTTTTTGTCATTTTTATTCTTTTTCTCTTTTTTCAAATGTAGCTTTTGGAGAAATCATTGGTAACGATCTGAACATAGGTTTATGTTTTATTTTAATTTAGTTAAACTTTCTTTTATTTCAAGTAAAAAAAAACTTTCTTTTATTTCTATAAATCTCTGTACTTTCAGCCAACATGGAGGTTCTGCAGAAGGTGGAGGTTGAATACGAGACGTTTTCCGGATGGAAGACGGACACGTCAGCGGCTAGGAAGTGGAGCGATCTTCCTCCTAAAGCTCAGAACTACATCCGCTTCGTGGAGAATCGCATCGGCGTTCCTAGTAAGTCCTTCACGCCGATAAACCGCATGTTATAAAACGGAGAGTTCCGGTCCTTGATTCTGATTGGCTGAGCCGTGTTCAAAGCTGTTGTAAATTACTCTACAAAGTAACATACTCCTTTATTTACGTTTGTCTGTTGCTCGGCAACCACTTTGTTGCAACCACAACTGTTTCTGAGGAACTACATTGTTTGGTGGAAGAATACTGTTTTTATTAATATCATTACACTTTATTTGCTCCGTTTTATTTTGTGAAACCTTACTACGTATATGGAATAACCGTTTTACAAAAGCAATAACCCCCGTGAAGCCATGGTTTACAGTGAATTTATAACAGCTAGTTAATATATAATATAATAGCTGTTATAAATTCACTGTAAACCACGGCTTCACGGGGCTTATTGCTTTTATAACATCCTCCTGTCCATCAAGCTCACGCTTGCATCTCTTCTCCGCAGTTAAGTGGGTTGGCGTGGGAAAATCCAGGGAATGCATGATCCAGATGTTCTAGGTTCATGAAGATTCCTACCCACAATCCTCCTGAAGACTATCAGCACAGCGGGACTCTTGGTTTTACTGGTTAGCATTCATTAAGCTCTCTTAACAATGTTTTACTTGATGGAAGATCAGCTCTGAATGGCTGTGTATGTCCAGGCGTTATAACCATCATCTATCGGTCACGTTCACACCGATCATAAAGAGTGGCGCTATTGTTAATGTTGAGTTTTTGGGCATTTGATCATGTTTTGTTGAATTGCGCTCTGTTGTTTCCAGTGAGACACATTAAGCGAAACCCCTGAAACTGTGTATTTCATTGTTTTAGTTGTATGCATTTCATTTTCTGCTCTTAGAATAATGTCTCCATTAAAAGAGTTTTTCCTTTGTGCAGGCTTCTTTCCCAGCGTTTTGTCTGATGTCAGATATAATTAGGTTAGACACACCATTAGCTGCTTCAGAAATAGATTGGGACAGGGAACGCTGTGTTCCCCTCATCTATGCCAAGATGATCTGATCTCAGAGGAACCGTAGTGCCGTCACAATGACAGACTCACAAGAAAAACTCAGATCCATGAGCCAATCAAGCACTACAGGAATAAGGGAAAGGACAAGTCGAATAATAATCAGACAGTGGGTGTAAATAAACTTTTTAAAATGTTATTATTTATTGTTTTTATTATTTTTACACTATTTACTTGATTTTATTTACACTATACTATTTATATTATTAAAATAATGTATTATTTTTTATTATTATTATTTTATTTATACCGTTTAATAATTATTATTTATTAGCGTAGAAATTCTTAAATGTCATTGCATTGGATACAAAATATCAAAGTAAGTGTGATGTATTGCAAAGACAGATGCCCAAAATGTGTATATAAATATAACATTCATAATGCCTTTTGGCAGATGCTTTTTTAATCCAAAACGACTTTGAAGTGCATTCATCTCTCCATGCATTTCCTGAGAATGAAACAAACCCATGACTTTGGCATTGCTATGCTTCAATCACCGGTTAAACAACAAGGTTTGAGAATGCTAAAACAACAAATGTGTTGAAAGTGAAGAGATGGTCTCCGGTCATAAGCGGCAGTTGCTGTGGTTCGCCTGATGATCGGCAGGTGGCGCTGAGCGCATCCTCGCGTCTGTCCGCCGCTGCAGCGGGTGAAGAAGAAGAAGAAGAAGAGTCCTTAAAGCGCGAACGCGTGTTTGTTTGTTTGCGTAATTAGTTTATTTTCGTCCTCCGTCGCTTTAGTTGTCGTGTTTTATAACCTGTCGTTTTTAACATGCCCAAGCGCTCCTATCCGTTCAGCGAGAGCTTCTCCTCGCAGTATAAAGTTCATGTTGGCCAGAAGCAGATCGATAACTGCGGAGCTTTTGGACTCAAATACAGACAAGAGACTTATGGTGAGATATAAACATATTTATTACAGCGTTCGAGTTAAAACAGTATCAGCAATATAAATCACTGGCATGTTTTGTAATTAAAATTATACAGTAAGTATAATCAAAGTATTGCTTTATAATCGATCGTAGTTAATTATTGCTAATCATAGAAACTTAATGCTAATGTTTACTACATCAATCCAGTTAATCATGATCCATTTTTATCAGGCGGTGTTAATGTCATCAGTTTAATCAAAGGTCATTAGTCAGTGTTTGTCAGTTTAATTACAGCGTGTATTTAAAGCTGTTCCTAATTGAATTCTGCTGCTGAGGTAAATTGCTCAAGTTTTTAGTTTCATTGCGTGTAATCACAACCTTACAGCGGCTTTTAGAATATTAATATTAATGAGTATTTAATAAGGTCATGTTTTTATATAAATGGATACATTTATTTGTATTTTTTTTTTTTTTTTTTTACTGATTCATATTACCAGCAGGCTATTTTTAGTATATAACCTGTAATATTTCAGTATGTAAAAGTAATATTGCTAAACGCCTAGGGGTTTTCCCCCGTTTACTCTCTTGTCTTACCGGTTTGTTTCTTTTGGTTTTTCCTCTCAATTAGAAAAGACCAAAAACCTGCTCTTCAATGGGACCAAAGCCATGATGGGTCGAATCTGGAAGGCCGACGCGCTTGTGTCCGGTCTGACCGCTGTGTCTCCGGCTCCTGGACATCAGACGCTTCTCAAAGGACAGACACGCATCGGGCTGGACGGACGGTTACAGAGAGCAGACGCTGCTCCAGGTGAATCCATAAGAACCAAGCAGAGCCAGATGTGATGCGTTCAGTGTGAAATAAAGCAAGAAGCCGTGGTTTACAGTGAATATATAACAGTTAAGGGGCGTTGTTAGGTACGACACGAAGCCTAAAACCCCCTTAGCTGTTATAAATTCACTGTAAACCACTGCTTCACGGGGCTTATTGCTTTTATAAAACGGTTATTCCATATACGTAGTAAGGTTTCACAGAATAAAACAGAGCAAATAAAGTGTAATGATATTAATAAAAACAGTATTCTTCCACCAAACAATGTAGCTCCTCAGAATCAGTTGTGGTTGCAACAAAGTGGTTGCCGAGCAACACACAAACATAAACAAAGGTGTATGTTACTTTGTAGAGTCATTTACAACAGCTTCGAACGCTGCTCAACCAATCAGAATCAAGGACCGCAACTCTACGTTTTATAATAAGACTTATTTGTGCTGTCATATGATAATGATGATGATTACACCGTCCTGCATCATATCTGCTGAATGAAATCCAAGTTTCTTACTAATTTTGTGCTGCTGATTCCAAAAACTGTGTCTTTTGGTTGAGCGAGTCACACTTTCTCACAATATGATGCGTTTTGTTGCATTTTTGCTTGTGAGAATCTTAACCCTATAAAGGGCAGAACCATAAAGAGACATCAGAAAATTAATTTATTGCTATTTTCCGTCTTATTGGAACTCAAATAATACAATTAAAAAAAGAGAGTATAAAAGTTATAAGTTTGTTTACTGTAAAGATAATGTAGTATACCATTTTTATTTTATATTAAATATTTTATAAAATGTTGCGCACTAAAGTTGCTATAAAATCAAAGCCATATGTCTAACCAAGTTATGTTCCAAATTTGAAGTTTATATCACCAAAAATTGTGGTTCCTGTGAGATTTTGTTTGGGCACTATACCAGAAATAACCTCTGGGTTACACCCAAAATTATTTTTTTGTTTGTTTTGATGCGGTTTTGTGTCACAAATCAATCATTTTCTGTCACAATATCACTTCTATTACCAAATATGGAACCTTGACTGTCAGATATTTCCAACGATATGTGTTTTGAGATTACAAAAAGATTTGATTTTCTAAAACACAAGCCACTAAATCACAGAGTCTATATATATATATATATGTATGTGTATGTATGTGTTTTAATATCTTTATTAAACCCCTAAAAGGGCGACGTATCCCCTGAGATACAAACATTTAGACACCGATTACAAAATATGTAAACATTTAATTCATAAAATGTCAATGTCAACCTAATAAGCTAATGCTGAACAACAGTCTCCTCCAACAACTAGATCAACTTTTATCAGAGGGTGAGTATTTGTGTGTTGAAGTCTTCGTTTTCTCCCTTTAATTAGCAGAAAAACCCCACAAACACGGTTCCTCTCTGAATCTGAGCCAGATTACAACTATTTGTTCAATTCTCGGCCCATTTTCACATGTAGAACATTATTATAAGCCTAATCCTGGATTCAAGGTCTGAATTATGGCTAATGACAGAAATAAGTTTTCTGATGCATCTGTAGGTGATTTACAGCATCTAAACGGCTACAAAAAAGCGTATTTTTCTCATTTAGTGAAGTTAAATTGAATATTTGATAAAAAAAAATTCATTTGTAGATTGTAAATTAAGTGTGGGACATTTTAAATACCTTTTTGGCATTAAAATGGAACTTGACATTTGACTGCTTTTATTTTGATAAGTGACATCATTTGAAATCATTTTTATTTTGTGAAAATTACATGATGGAAATGTTTTTTGTTTTTTTTCTCTCCTGTGAAATCAAGCACTGTCCGTAAAACAACCATAACATACAGATTACAGAATGTTTTACAGTCTTTTAATAACAAAAGAAATGTTGAGTGCTTTTCAAGCAGAGGTTCATCCAAAAACGAGTAAATAAAACTATTTTGTTACCTCATTAAATCCAAACCTTTTGACTATTGTTTACCGTTCCATTCTTCACAATAGAAGTTGTGTACAGAGTCATGTTTGGGATTACTTGAGACTAAATGATTGTGGTTGTGTTCAGACTGTCCTTTAATCAACACTGACGATGTTTTGTGCTTTCTTGAGCTGCGGTGACTCTCTGTGAGCTGCTGTAGTAGCTCTGTGTCTGCGTGTGTCGTCAGGTTGTGCAGCGGCTCCTTCAGCGTGTTGTGTGTGTCAGAGGGTCTCGGGTTCGAGGAAGCCGTGCTCTCAGTGCGAGCGTCCCGCGTGTGCAGCGTGTATCCGGCAGTGCAACATCTGTGCCGACCGCTGCTGCTCCCTGTGCACCGTCACCGAGTGAGTCGACCACATTAAACAATGCTTTTGACTTCCTTTAATGGAATAGTTGACCCAGAAGTGAAAATGTACTCGCCCTCAAGCTGTTTGAGATTAGGATGAGTTTGTTTCTTCATCAGATTTGGAGAAATGTAGCATTGCATCAGTGTCTCAGCAGTGGATGCTCTGCAGTGAATGGGTGCCGTCAGAATGAGAGTCCAAACAGCTGATATAAACATCACAATAATCCACAAGTAATCCACAGCACTCCAGTCCATCAGTTAACATCTGGAGACTCTATCGTATTTGAGTTAAAAACGTCTTAATGCTGGATTAGTTTCAGCTTTTGTCTTCTCCAGATGTTAACTGATGGACTGGAGTGCTGTGGATTACTTGTGGATTATTGTGATGTTTTTATCAGCTGTTTGGACTCTCATTCTGACGGCACCCATTCACTGCAGAGCATCCATTGCTGAGACACTGATGCAGTGCTACATTTCTCCAAACAAAACTCATCCTAATCTTGGATGATCTGAGGGTGAGCAGATTGTCAGCACATTTTGAAGAATCCCTTTAAAACAAAGCTCATATGCACGTTTGGGATGTTTAGTTTTGGATTTGCATGCTATACCAACAAACATGCACGATGCATAACTTTACTGTATTAGATCTGTAGTTTCTGTTTTTCTTGACTCTCGTCTGTTCGTTCTCTGTGCTCAGTTACAGTGAGCGGTATGAGCGCGTCCTCTGCTGTGGCTGTTCATCCTGATAGCAGTGATCAGAACAGATGACTGATGACCGTTACGCCAGACAAGATTAAGGCATTACCAATTAAATGTAAATGAGATTACTATTTTATATATGCTTGCATTGTTTCTGGCTCTTTCCCTCCTTT